AGTTTGGAGAGCACTCAAGAAGCTAGAGTTGCACTCGGCGAACTTCTACGCATCTTTCATGCTCTCCAAACTTCCCGCGTGCATCCATAACTCGATATCCGCACAGCTAAAAGCATGAACAAATGGGCCATTTGCATGATGATATCATTTACTACTACGACCAGAATCCTTCAGGATTTTCCTTTCTTGTGCAAATTACGGCTTTTGTCAGTTAAATCTCGCTGGGATCATCAAATTTAAATATGAAAAGAAAAACGAAAAGGGTTCTGGTCGTAGTAGTAAAATGACGCCATCGTGCAAATGGCCTATTCTTAAATTTTGAATGCACATTTTGTGGTTTTCTTTCACGCCGATGTAAAAATGTAGAAAACGCCTATGAAACCTTTGTAAATACAATAGAGTATACAGAATGTACCTCAAGTTTCTTCAGAAACCTTGCTTCCTTGGTTGGTTTAAAACAAGCCAAGCGCTCTGATCCGCCGTGAAGAAAACAAGATTGAATTCCTCGAAACTACAACTTCATAGCGAAAAGCTCTCGTTTGCCCACAAAAAGGAAACTGAGCATTCTTTTGAACTTTCTCTTTTCATTTGTGTCTTTTATCAGGCGTACTTTCAAAATTGAAATACCAAATTTAGTCTTTAGCGCGCCAGCCATTTTGTTGATGGATAACATTAAGTAAGGTGTCAAATCCGCCTCTTCCCCCACTCTCTATGTGGTTGACCATGTAACTTTTGTGGGGGAGGGAGGGTATGGGTGATTTTGTTTGAGTAAGAATTTTTTTCCCAAATCTCTGGGGTTAGAAAATTTTTCCCTGACATACGACAGTGTAAGAGTTTTTTTTCAGCATTATATACGTCATGAGCGATATTTTTTTCAGTGCAGGATATTATATATTTTCACCCAGTTATATCCTTGCAAGCTTTTCCCCCTCAAAATCAGTCTGCAGGGTATTTTTATCTTAAATCACCCATAACCCCGTCAAAAGTCAAATTGTCGGCCCCTAAAATCCACCAAACATTTGCTCAGTTGACAGATTTTGATTTGTCAATCATTTCTAAAGCCTTTTGAAACAATAGGGGACAAAACTCTCTAGGGGAGAGGGAAGGAATTCGTTTCTACTTACCTCTACCCGGAGATTCCGTACGGAAGGACGTACGGTGACGTCATAACTAAATTTTCTCGGACAGTTAGTTTACCAAATGTTTCTTAGTTATGGAGCTCCACGCTGGCGCGCACGGAGGCTCCGCTATCATCTTCCCCGTTTCTGACTGGTTCCAACCCCCCGGCCAATTCTACCAACTGTTGCTTTCCGTATTTGGAAGATGCAAGCAATATACCATCGATTCGATGGTATATATGATTGGAAACGAGGCTGCTAGGGCAACAGGCCATCTCCAAGCCGCTAACAAGCTGTTTATTGACACGAGTGAACTAAAAACAAACGGTATTCACGGCTATCCGAAGACGAAATAGCTGATTTCTAACTAAATCTGAACGGAAGAAAGACAAAAATACGCTAAACATATCGCTTGATGGTTTTTATCCACTTTTCGAGGAGTATCTGCAAGGAAAAACATCTGTTTTTGAAACCGTGCCGAGAAATAGGCCAAGGATTTGAAGAAAGTCTACGAGGAGGTAATCTTGTTCGGATCTTAGAAACATTTAGAATGAATGGTCAGCGCAAGCTGGTTACGAAGAATTAACCTGGGGATTAAAGCTAATCGGAAACTGAGACATTTTGAATAAACAGAGTGATTTTACTTAATCAAGCAAGGGGATACTAATAACTAAATGCTTAATACACTCGAACCTCCATATGTCAACCACCGCTCGTAAGTAACCACCTCCCATAAATTAAAGGATCACCGATCAAAAACACCAAAATGTTTCACTCTGAGCCTTGTAGTTGCCACATCTCGTGAGCGACTGCGACCACCTTTTGGGGTGACGGTTTTATAATTTTCCATTTTTTTAACCTCGTGTAAGCGACCGCTTTACGCATGGTTCGATCTCTCTGTTCGCCGTGTATGTACTTAACGCTAGTCAGAGTATACGAAGAACTTTTTTTACGACATGGAACTTAGAAATTGCGTGCAAAAAATTATCTTCCAAAGAAAAAGACCCAATGTGATTCGTAAGCGACCATTAAATTTTCGCACTTTGGGTGGTCG